TGGCCGGGGCCGGCGGCGCCAACTCGTTGCTGCTGAGGCGAGGGAGGCTCAAGCGGAATCTGTCGGTGGCCGCCGCCGCCTCGTCGTCGTCGTCGTCGTCGTCCGCCTCGCGCTCGCCCAGCACCGCCGGCCTGGCTGCCTCCTGCTCAGCCGCGGCGTCGCTGTGTACACGCAGCCTGGACAGGAAGACGCTTCTTCTGAAGCACCGGCAGGCGCTGCAGCTGCAGCCGTCGGACCGCGACTGGGTGAGGCAGCAGCTGCGGCGGGGCTGCGTGCACGTCTCTGATCGCCACCTGGCCGCTGCCGGCCTGCGCCCCGTGCTCTGCACGCTAGACACTACGGCCGCCGAGCTGGCCGCACGCCTGCTCCAGCCGGCCCCCAAGGGCGGTGGCGTGCTTAAGGTGCTGGGCCGGGGCCCCTCCGCCCCGGCGCCCGAGCCGCCGCGCACGCCCCCTGGCCGCCGACCGCCGCTGCCGCCCGGGGGCGCCCTGGACGGCGCGGGCGCGGCCTCCGACCCTGAGAGCTTCAGCCCGAGCCCCAGCGCCGAAAGCGCGTCTGACCGCATGGATCCTTCCAGTGGTGGCGGCTCGTCGTCGTCCGAGGAGCTGGAGGCCGAACCCGGCCCGCATCGCCACCGCGCCGCGCCCTCGGGGCCCGAGCCGCGCGCCCCGGCCGCCTCCCCGACGGCCCCGAGAGGCGGCGACGGGCCTCGGGAGGACCCGGCGGCTGCGGCGAAGGCGAGCCCAGCGCCCACCCTGTACGTGCAGCTGCACGGAGAGACCACCCGGCGGCTGGAGGCGGATGAGAAGCCACTTCAGATCCAAAACGACTACCTCTTCCAGCTGGGCTTCGGGGAGCTGTGGAGGGTGCAGGAGGAAGGCATGGACGCCGAGGTTGGCTGCCTGGTCCGCTTCTATGCAGGTAAGGGCCCGCCTGCGCGCTGGCCGGCGGCGTGCACACCCCGACAGGTACCGAGACCCGGCCCAAGCCGGGGGACACGCAGGTCCCGGCGTCCACGCGCAATCCGTAGGATCCTAACTTGAGCCATTTTAAATCCATGTGCTGGAGTGAATCTCGAGGGCTCGGAGCTTGCAGAGTCTATGGAGTAGGTGGCCGGTCCCCAGGAAGTACAGGAAGCAGATCCTCCTGAACGAGGCAACAGAGCATTTATCCCAAAGGGGCTTCCTTGGGGTCTCCACTCGTGGGCGCGTTGGGGCTGAGGCTGTTGAGTTTTCGGGGAAGCCTTTAGGTGCACACCTACTGACCCTGGAGCTTTGGAGCAGCCCCCGATTTTACTTGCTGCCAGTTTCTCGTGTTCGCGCTAAGTAGCCCCCGCCGGCAGTTGTTTCTGGTCAACTAAGGCTCTTGTTGGGCCCACTGCTTTGCTGGTGTGCCCTCCGAGTCCCCTGGAGAGTGACCCCATATTATTTTTGCTTGGCAGTTTCCTCTGCGGGACTTACTCTTGCCTCAAAAATGGTCAGGTGTTTCTTTTTCTCATTCTCTCTCCCAGGAGTTCTGATTAGAACTGACCGTTTTCCATAGGACTTGTAATAAGGGCCCCAAAAAGAATGGGACCGAAAATCCTCCCCATGGTTTTTGCAGTTCCAGCTCCAAATTCCTGATTAGGATGGTCAATGTAACGTTTTCTCTTTTGGCCAAATACAAGGGGGGCGAGGTACTAAAATGCAACAGGTTTTAAGTGCTTATATTTATTTGAGTTTTGTTAATTTGCATTCTTTCATTTTTTTAGATTGAAAACTTTGATCTTTGCGATAAGGATTTTTATTTAAAATCAAGAGAGTTAAATCCCCCGCCCCCCCCCCCCAAAAAAAAAGAAACTCCCAACCTTGACTCATTCTAGGGTGTAGATAATGGTGAGAAAGGGGTCATTGAGCCTGATTATAACTCCATTAACCTGTGGACCTTCTTTTAAATGGAAAGTTTTGGGATTTGGTTTTTCCCACCTCTGTCCTCCCTTGTGTCAGTCAGTTGGGTTTCTTTGAATGAAGAAATCTTTTATCCCCCGTACTGAAATATACAAGACTGGTAGCCTTCCTGGGATATGTTCATGTAAATTAAAGTTGCTCTGAAATTCTTAAGTAGGTTTCTGGTGGGCTTTTTGCCTTAGAAAGAAAATCAGTAGCATTTGCAATATATTAATATAATATCTCAGCTGATGGCTTGTCTTTTAAAGTTGATGTCTGAGAAAGTAGGTGATTTTTCATGTAGGAGGAACAACTTTCTTATTTGGAATTTGTAAAATATTGTTACTTATATTTGTAATCACACTTGGAGTGAGAATGTTTATTTTGTTAACAAGAATAGCAAATATATTTATGACCAAACTCTTAACATTGAAAGAAAAATAATAAAGTAGGGAGATGTATTAAACAAATAGTATTTGGATATATTTTATATGAAAAGAGTTCTAAACTTGCTCTTGATTGTTTTTTGTGTTAATTCTGTTAAAATTTCCATGGGGAAAGTTTGGGATGTTACAGTCATGAAAATTTAAGTCTCTGAATCCTCCATATAGTCTTTTTCAGAGTGCTTAAAATAATTCTAAGTGAATGATTTGCAGTTTTTTTTTTAAACGTACCTCAATTTAAGAATAAGATTCTGCTTCAATCATAAATTCTGATGTGGTCATTAAAAATTTTTTTTTTTTTTTTGCTTTGCTCTTAAAACTAATTGTTAACTCATTCTGAACCTATCTGCTTTACTTCATTTCACAGCATAAATATATATACTGGTATGTGTATGAATACGCTTGCAAAAATAACCAATAAAATGGACATAATCACAGTGTCCAATCTGTTCTTAAACAAGAATCCAGTGTGTTATAAAGAGGTTTGACCTATGGATTGTTTTTAATACAAAGTTGAGATTACTTTCAGCCTATATTTACAGAGTTAATGTATCAAACTTCTTGGTATAAATATTCATTTGCCATAGAACAAAACTTGGCATCTGGTGAGTCTCCTTGCACTTTTGCAAGAAAGCCTCACTATTGAAGAACAAAAGGCCTTGTTAGAAGGTAGTCTCCCCACTCTGAGAACCTCTGAGGACAATGAAGGTTGCATGAGGCTGGAGAAGGTTCCCTTGCTCAATTGTAAAGTCAGGCACCCCAACAGGAGAATGTTAGATTTTGTAGTTAATTATTTTCCTTGTTGTCGTAGTTAAGTGCTGTTGAGTTTTTTCTGAGTCACAGTGAACCTGAATTAGGGTTTCTGAAGCTGTTAACTTTTACAGGAGCAGAAAGCCTTCTTTTTTTTCTCTCCCTAGGAGGCTGGTGGGCTTGAACCACCGACCTTGTGGTTCGTAGTCCAGCGTTTATGCTACAGAGCCACTACGTTCCTCAATCATATTCCTTAGTGGTAGGATAATTAGTATTGTTGTACATGCTATACTCTCTTTTAGAGAATTCTGTATCTCATTTGTGTTCATAATTCATATATAACTTCTGGAGTTTATTGCTGAGTATTTCTGCTTAGTGTAGTTGACAGTTTAAGGATAAACTAGAAAGTTGCCTTTGAAGCCTTTTGAATGTTTTCCAGTGTTTAGATCAAACTTGTTGTCTGCTGTCTAGTTTATCTTTTTTTTTTTTTTTTTAAATAAGCTGTTGTCCAGCCGCGAACTTTCACTCTCCTAAGGCTTGTTTTCAGTTAAATTGTAGTGTATATAACCTGGCTCAAGTTATACTTGAAAGGCATTTCTGCCCGCTTTGAATATTTACATATTTTACTTGGGTAAAGTGAAATGAAAGTTTCAAATGAACTAGAAGGCAGGCCTTGGAGAAAAGGTACTATCGAATTATAGAGATGGTGATGCAAACTTTCAAACCTGTTAGTGCGCCTGTCACACGACTACTTTATCAGTTGAGTTAAAATGTGGGCAGATTTGAATGGTGTTTAAATTTAGTATGTTAATATCAAATTTCCTTTTAAAAATAAAACATTCTAAATTTTACCAAAAAGAGTAATTTTAAATTTTAGGGGAAAAGATCATTGAAGAATTTGGGCTGCCTCATATAAACTAAAGGTGCCCTAATGGATTAAGCATTAGGCTGCTAACCACAAGGTTGGTGGTTCAATCCCCCAGTTGCTGTGAAGGAAAAAGATGAGGCTGTCTGAAGATCTAGTCTTGGATACGATAAGGAACAGTTCTGCTCTGTCATCTACTGGCTGGCTGTGAGTTTGAACCGATACTTTGTCAGTGGGTTTGATTTGGTTTGAACAGAAGTTCTGGACTCCTAAACATTAATGAGTGTGTGTTTTGGACTTCCTGGGGTGTCTGGGTGATTCATGAAGAGCAGTGTCAAACTATGGTTTGTTTTGTTTTTGTTCTTTACAGTTTTTGACTTTTCTTCTACTAGCTTTTAGATTTAGTAATCTCACTATTTCAGTTCAAGTTTCAGTAATGAGAAAGGGCGTTGGCAGGATGGTGAGCATACCAACTATGCCACAGTGAATCTTGGACACATGATTTTTCTGTCACTCCTTGGATTGCTAGGGCAACAAGCACTTACTCCTCTCATATTTCTCTCTTTCTCTACTGGGAATGCTCAAACCTGACATGGTTTCCGCCATGGAAACCAAGAAGGGGTCGTTCGGCATTAAGCTTCAGTATTGACGAGCAGGTTCTTATTACTATAATTACAGCAGTATTGAGTAACGTGGTATGAACATGTGACACCAGTGTGTGCCTGAATAGTCCTTTTGATTTGAAGAACAAAGGGTTTTAATGGTTGGTTTTTTGTTATTTGTTTTAAATATTTTCTATATTGTATATTTTGGCTTTCAGTGTAAATAAAGTACATGCCATATTTCCCTTTGGCGACATTTGTAATACCATGGGTTTTATGGTGTTCAAAAATCTTACAGGGCTTTTGCAGAAATTGTCTCATTTGTCCTTTCACAAACGTTATGAGGGAGGAGTTGGGCGTCAATCCTCTGTTCAGATGGAGAAAAACTGATGCACTGAGAGGCTTGACTCTCTTGCTTGTGGTTTTTAAGCCCTTGACAGAACTGAGAAGAGAGAGCTTGGATATTCTGTTTTGCAATTCATATCACTTTCCATGAATCGAAGCTGAATTTCATTTACACATGAATCTTTCACTTGGCTAAAAGCATTCAGAAAATGCGCTATTTTTGTTGTTAATGAGGTGGTATTATCCTGTAGTCCAAAGTGGCATTCCTTGTGAAATGTGGATGATTCTATTTTTATCATGCCGCCTTTGGCAAATATAAGGAGGCATTACACAAAGTGTCCAAAAGTGCCCTAAATGTTCTGGTTGCAAATGGCTACATTTGCCCTTAATTTCATATGAAGTAAAGTGTACAGAATGATTCTTTATTCTCTTTTGCAAGCATGCTTCATTTGTTAAACTGTAAATCTTGATTGGGAAGTCGAGAATTAACACTTTATCTGAAAAGTACGAACTCTTGAGTGTGGAGGTGTGATATAATTCAGTTCTTTTAAAAACCATCTTGCTTGCATGAAACATACTCATCATTAAAGGTCTTATTGCTTAAATCATTTCCTTGAAAGTATATTTATTTGTACTTGGATGACAGTAAGTACTTAATGGCTCTTGTACAGCTTTAACAATTTGTATGTTATATATAGTAGGGAGGAGTCCTTGTGTGGCACCGCAGGGTAATGCGATGGACTGCATGCAACAAGGTTGGTTTGAACTGCAAGGCCAGTGGTTCAAGCTCACCAGTTGCTTTTTGGAAACCCTATACAGGGTCATTATGAATCAGAACCACTCGATGGCACTTAACAACAACAGCGTATAGTGTGTGTGGGGAAGTACAATGGCTCCATACAATAAACACTGGACTGTAAACCACAGGCCCGCAGTTTGAGCCTGTCAACCACTTCACAACAGAAAGCAGAGACTTTGTGATCCCTTGAGA